ATAGAATCACAGAATGGTTTGGGTTGGAAGGGACCTCAAAGATCATCCAATTTCAACCCCCCTGCCATGGGCAGGGACACCCTCCACTACACCAGGTTGCTCAAAGCCTCATCCAACCTGGCGTTGAACACTTCCAGGGATGGGGCAGCCACAGCTTCTCTGGGCAACCTGTGCCAGTGCCTCACCACTCTGAGGCTTATATCCAATCTAAATCTCCCCTCTTTCAGTTTAAAGCCATTGCCCCGTGTCCTGTCACCACACGGCCTTTATGAGATGTACAGGTTGAAAAAAGAAATTAGAATAATCCAGTATGAGGATACACTAGGCTGTAATAAGTTTTAGTGATTTCCTCTGATGGATTTTGTCAGCTCGGCCCAATATTTGACTCTACGTAGAACTCCTTGGTGAATTTTGTGTGTATTCAGCAGATTTCTTATTGTTGTCTCTTTAAAATAAATAATCTGAGAACAGAGAATAGAACATCTCCCTGTTCCCATGTCTACAGGGAGTCTTGTGGATATCCGCTTCTCCGTGTACAGATCGGAGTCTAAGGCAACCCTGTGAAACTCTCCAGTTCAAGCTTAATGGTGCCTTTTTGTATTGGTCCCAACTGTTATTTTCTTCTTCTAGACAAGGAGCTGCTCAGGTTTCACAGCATCAGCTCCAAAAAATTTCTGCATCGTGATGCCTTGTTGTCAGAATTTGTCAGCAAATTCTGTAGCTGTTCTTGTTCCAGGTAGAACAAAGACCAGAATTGGAGTTTCCTGGTTAACATTTGTGGCGTTTGGAATGGAAAGGTTCCCTCATCCTCCTACTGAAAGCATCATTCTTCAGGAGTTCAGAATTAAACAGAGAAATTCCTTCTCCTTTAAGACTGACAAAAAATTGAGTGAGCTTTCTTGGAGTCTTTGTGTTAGTAGATAGAGAACACAGAAATAATCTTTCATCACTAATAAAATAATAATAATAATAAAATGTTGAAATAATCTGAAATAATAATAAATGTAAAATAATAACAATAAAATTAGAAATAATTTTTTTAACACTAATGAGTCCTGGTGATAGACAGGAAACTTCAGTTATTTTTCATCTCCTACACAGGCAGGTCAATCCCTGAGAAGGGTTAACTGGTGGTTGTAGGTTTGTTGTGCTGGGTTGAGTGTTTTCAAATGCTTATTTTGGCTGTTCTCTACCACTGTGCTTTCTGTGTGACACCATTTTTCTCTCTGTACTGCTCGATCGATTCCTTGAGCCCTTTCAATGTGATGACACTTCGTTTCCAAATGTAAAACCATTGATGGACAATTTGGCAGCTGTGGCTTGTGACAGAGGTTTTACTGGTGTATGTGGTATCTGCTTTTGCCTTTGCACCGTAGAGCCAGGAAAATACATGTCAGTAAACCAGTATGTTTAGTGGCTTCTCCCAAAACAGGTGTAAAGGTAGGTTTTTCTTGTTGAGAATCTACTCTACTAACTGGGAAAAGTTAATTCTTGGAGCGGAGCCAGTGTTTTCGTGTGTGTTTGGTTAGGGATAAAGTTGAAAAAATTTTTATGCATTGAAGTAAGCACACTTGAACATACATCGATGCATTGAAGAGATGTAAAAGTATTTCCTCATTCTGAATTTGCTTAAATTAGCTGTATGCTCTCTGACTCTTTAGATTGTCTTCCTTGAAAATGAATATTTAAAACAAAAAACCAGGCAAAACCCCACCAACCTCTCCTTATTGGATGTCAAATTTTAGTGCTAAGACTCTTTTTAACTATAAACTTAATAGGGGCAAAATCCTACAGCAAAATTACATTTATAAATGTAATTTTATTGCATTTATCTCTACAGCTGAAATTAATTTCTCAGAGTGTTCATTAAAAATAAGCTTTGGTAAGTGACATTTTAAACAGGCATTCAGAAGCGATTGCGAGAACGATGGTGATAAAGAGCAACGTCTAAAAGGAAGTATAAAATTCTTGAACATTTTAAACTGGCCTGTGAAAACTTCAAATGTAGCTATTTGGACAATTTGGGAAATGTAACGAGAACACGTATTGCTGCTAGACTGGGGGACTGCCAACATTGCCACGGATTGGTATTTTGTCAAATATTTGATATTCATTGTTTTTTTTTTTTTAAAAAAATGCAATACTAGCATTGAGAAAGTAGACAGAAGGTGTCTTTTTTTTTAATAAGAAATGTGTGGGGTTTTTCCTCTTGATAGTGAAGAAAATTTGGAGAAGGTGACTGTGAAAGCATCATAAACCCCTATACCCTAGATAACAACTAAAAAAATTTAGTTTAGATAGCAACTAAAACAAATGACCAGAACCCTCCATTTATTGCTTAATACAGTGTGACCTTCACGTACACATGAAAAGCTCTAGTACACTCTGTGCTTGTCTGTGATCAGACAGACGTCTTCCAGAGCTCCTCAAGGTTTGCAGTCCAACACATCATTGGCAGTCCATGAGGAATCCCATTTGTTGCTAGCAACAGATGCAATTAGTGTGAGAGGGCAGGACGTTAGGCCCTGAGGCTTTTTGTATCCAAAAAACCTGTAGTCAACTGTTTTATCTGTGCCAAAGTCCAGATCCATTTATTGTTAGCTCTTACGACAGTTTCTTATCTTCTCCTTAGGTCTGAACGATGGATATTGTAGCTCTGAAAGTCTTATGTAGACACGTGAATATTCAAGCAAACAGCACTCCATTACAGCTGAAACGTAAAATCTGCTGTCCCCAGATTTGTTTAATTTGTGTGTCAACAATTAGCCAAGGAATACAGTTAGGAAAAATAAATGACCATCAATCCTATTTGAGGTGTTGGACCAGTAAAAAGAACAATAACGGACTACTTACTGTGGGAAGCAAAGAGAAAGAAGAAAGCCTTCTCTGTCACTAAAACACAAATTTGCTTCTAACTTGTCTTCTTAAGTTTACCTTGAGCATGGTAGAAATGGGTTTAAATATCAACACCATGCCTGAGAAGACTGAGTTATGGTGTGGGAATAATGGTCATAATCTCTGAAACCAAATTAAATGATAAGCTGCGTGCTGGAGACAATTATTTACTTCAAATTTACTTTTGGATCATAGTGTAGACTTAGTGCGTTTTTCTGTGCAATGTTTCTCTGGCTATTTCCTTCTCCTTTGTCATCACAGAATCATAGGATGGTTTGGGTTGGAAGGGACCTCAAAGATCATCCAGTTCATTGTAGGTGGTAGAGGAGGCTTTCTGGTTTCTCACACACTAAAATGTTTTTCTGTTGTTTGTTTTAGATTTTTTTTTTGTATGTGAAACGCACACAAGAAACAGTTTAGTCTTGTCATTATTTAAAGTTACAGTCTGTCCCTGTTCTGCTCTGATGCCTCTAGATTCATAGATTCATAGATTCATAGATCTCTAGGTTGGAAAAGACCTTAGAGATCGAGTCCAACCATCCCTAATCCCCATTAAACCATATCCTCAAGTAGATCATCCACCCTATTCTTAAACGCATCCAGGGATGGGGACTCAACCACCTCCCTGGGCAGCCTATTCCAGTGGCTGACAACCCTTTCAGAGAAGAAATACTTCCCAACATCCAACCTGACCCTCCCCTGACTAAGCTTATACCCATTTCCTCTTGTTCTATCACCCATCACTAATGTAAAGAGCCCTTCCCCCACCTCCCCACCATCTTTTCTCAAGTATTTGTAGGCTGTAATCAGGTCTCCCCTCAGCCTCCTCTTCTCCAGGCTAAACAGCCCCAACTCCCTCAGACGCTCCTCATAAGTTTTATTTTCCAGCCCCTTGACCAGTTTAGTTGCCCTTCTTTGGACTCGCTCCAGGAGCTCAATATCTCTCTTAAAGCGAGGGGCCCAAAACTGAGCACAATATTCCAGGTGCGGCCTCACCAGTGCCGAGTACAGGGGCAGGATCACTTCCCTGCTCCTGCTGGTCACACTATTCTTGATACACGCCAGTATCCCATTGGCCTTTTTGGCCACCTGGGCACACTGCTGGCTCATATCAAGCCGGTAGTCAACCAAGACCCCCAGGTCCTTCTCCGCCAGGCAGCTCTCCAGCCACTCTTCCCCGAGCCTATATCGATTCTTGGGGTTTTTATACCCCAAGTGAAGGACTCTGCACTTGGCCTTATTAAAGCTCATGCCATTGGCCTCAGCCCAACGATCCAGTCTGTTCAAATCCCTCTGAAGGGCCTCCCTACCCTCGAGCAGATCGACACAGCCTCCCAGCTTGGTGTCGTCCGCAAATTTACTGAGGGTACATTCAATCCCCTCATCCAGGTCATTGATAAAGATGTTAAACAGAACTGGACCCAGCACTGAGCCCTGGGGAACCCCACTGGTGACCGGCCTCCAGCCGGATTTAGCCCCATTTACCACCACTCTTTGGGCCCGGCCATCCAGCCAGTTTTTAACCCAAAGGAGGGTGTGCCTGTCCAGGCCAGCAGTTATCAGTTTCTCAACCACTCTTGTCTCCTTACCTTCCAAAAGCTCCCAGGTCTGGAAAACAATATGTGCTTTTTAACTAAGCTCATCATCCCACTTTGCAATAAATACTTTAATTTTTTTTTCCAAGGAATTATACTACTAAAAATGGTGCATTGCCATGTAAGTTGGCTGTAGCTACCTCTGAAAATGTTCACTCTCAGACTTCTCAAAACAAGAACTTGGTGGCTCTTTGGAGCTGTGATTTACAGACTTCCTCCTGTGTATCTTGAGTCGATGAATTCTTTATCACTTTGCCAGAGGTCGTGGACTTTTATATAATTCCATTGAAGCCATCCGTCCTCTGAAAAGTACTTGAAATGGTTCAGATGTCAAGCTCGATGGATTACCAGCTTTAGCATTTGACACATCACCGCGATGCTGGGAGAAAGAGCAAAGCTTGGAGGGAGTCTCTGTTTTTAAGTGGACTGTTTTAAGGCTGTGTTAATGTTTTATTTATGAGGTTTGCTCCTTCACATTCCATTTTCCTCTCTGATTTTTTTGTCTTGTAGTGTTGTCCCTCAGACCACGGTAATACTGAACAACGACCGGCAGAATTCAATTGTAGCCAAGATGGTTGGGCAGGAAGAGCCACTGAGCAGAGCAGCGGATTCTCTGGAAAATATTCTTAGCAAGTTAGTAGCAGTTATTGGAATCCTCCCTCTCCGATGCCTCCTTTGACAGATCAATTCCAGTCTCTGTAGCAATTCGAAGCCCAAAGTGGGGAATGTTCTAGGTAATAGTGGAGGGGAAAACATTGAAGGGGTACTTGAACCTTGGTTAGCCTGACAGTTTTCCCCAGGGAAGCCTTGTATCAGCAGCAAAGGTGCAGAGCAATGCTTCACGCTTGATGGGGAGAGAACATCTTGGAGGATCTGGGATTAATTCAGTGCTAGTTGACAGCTGACAGCTGAAAGAAGGAGTGCCCATAGCTACGTATTTTTTACATGGATGCACAGTCACTTGGGAACATGCCAAGATCTCATACTTAACCAACTGAAGAAAGAATATGCAGCAGCCCAGGAAGGCTTGTTAGAATTTTTACTGTCTAAAGCAAATTTTAGATCAAGTGGAACTGGAGATTCTATGTAGAAAATGTTCTTAAATAATGTGTGTTTATAAATTATTGAAATGTTTTTTGTTTTACACACTGGGCCTAGACTTTTCCAGTGATGCAAATTTAGAAAGTGTGCATAAAAAGCTTTTATTTCTTCTGCTGTTTGCTTCCATTTTATTTGCTGGATAGCTCTGAGTTATAAACAGGAGTGAGCTTGTTTGAAGGAGTATGCTTTTATGATACGTTTAATTTTGATAATTAGTGTTTTTAATTCCCTTATCATGATGCTATTCCTGATCACGGATTGTATTTTCCCAAAGTTACCTACTTTTCTTTTCCGTAGTGCTGTTCCTGGACGCAGACAGAACACCATAGTGGTGAAAGTTCCAGGGCATGACGACAGTCACAATGAAGATGGAGAGAGTGGCTCGGAGGCCAGTGACTCAGTTTCCAACAGTGGACAATTAGGAAGCCAAAGTATTGGGAACAATGTCACGCTTATTACGCTGAACTCTGAAGGTATGCTGATCTAACTACAAGGCTACTTGAGCAAAGTAAATGTGGTGGAATGAACTAAGATTCAACTGGAAGCTTCAGAGATCATATCATGGGTCCAACCTGGAACTTCTAGGCAGTACAGCCAGCATCAGATAGGAGTGAATGAATCTGAGTGAATCATTTGGTTGGTTGGGTTTGTTGGTGGTGTAGCGTGTTGTGTTTTTTTTTCTCCTTTTTACTAGTTGTACAGGCAGAACAGCTAATTAAAATTACTCGTAAAATTTAAAAACTATGCCCTGCTATAGCAGTGTAGATTTATATTTTAAACCCTTTCAATAAACACCTACAACCTGCAGGATTTCCTGTCAGTAAGTTGAAATAGTATTAAGGAAAATAAATGCCTTCTCTGGAAAATAAAATCTACTAGTCCATCTCTTCCTGTAACTTACTATGCCAGTCCACTTATGTAATTCTTATGAATGTAAAGTAGGTATTTTAGCAACTGTAAACAATTTTTATAAGGAAATTAATATTAAAACCAGACTGTTAACAAGATAATGTGTAGCGTCAGATTTTTCTAAAAATCAAATATAGTGAAATCTAAGAATTTTAGATTAGTCTTATAGAGATAGTCTACTCTATGTGGCTGGAAATATTGAAATGAATGTTGGTTGCTATATTTTAATCACAAACGAGACTATATAAGGTTCACTAAGTTTTAGGTGAGTATAACATGATAAATTATGTTATGATTAGTTTGAAAGTATCAGTGATTTTTTTTTTATATATACAGATGTAATTTGTAGGCTTAAACTCAATAATTTTCCTAATTACTTTTAAAAACTCATTTATTGAGCATTTACTCAAGTGTTACTGCAGATGTGGTAGTTCATATTTACATTCCTGTACCAGAGAAGAATAAATTGCTTCAGGAAATTGTTGCAGCAGAAGGCACTTAAGAGGTGACCTTTGTACTTAAGAGGTAAAGTGTTGTCTAACATTGAAACAGAAGGGCTTTACTTTAGGAGTGATTCAGTTTCTTCTGCATGATCTCCAGCCATTGGGAAAAGCATGTTGAGTGTGAACAGGTTAGGATGCAATTAGTGGTAAGGAATAATTCAGGATAGCCTGAAACTGAGTATTTAAGAGTGCGTTCAGAGATCTCAGAACTAACTCACAATTCAACAAGATGATTTAAAACTTTGATACTTGGAAAACTTCAGAAGTCAGCCTACTGAAAGTCGTATGCACCGAAGATTGTTTCTGAAAATGTGATTCTGAGGCAGTGGAACCCCGGATTCTTTGACTTTTATGGACTCTGATACAACATATGCACATGAGAGAGAGTTTTTAGGTTCTGTCCTGTGCGTATGTTGTCAGACAGAGTTGTGCTTCTGAAGGGTATTTCATTTTGGGTCAACAGGGAATTAAAGGAGACTGAGGCTGTCTGAGGAGTTCCGCCCAAAAATATGATCAGATTGCAGATAGTGCTGATATTTTGATGTGAAAATACATATGAAGCGTACTCTTTGTGGAGTCTGTTAATATTTCATACAGCTGTCAGCTATGCCAGGAGCAAAGTTTCTAACACTGGGAGAGTGTTTGCTGTATAATGCCCTTTTTGACTTGGTGGTTTCGCACAGATTAGCACAGACAAATGTGGTGTTGGCCTTTTATGCCGTTGTTGTGTATGTAAATTTTGAAGAAACAGCTAATCCATTAATGTCTTCAGATCTGATTTTTCTTCAGACCTTTAGAACACTCATCCATTAAAAATCTCTCTGAGATTGATGAATGCTTTGAGGATCAGATTAGTAATCCCCCACACCTACCTCCTCGTGCCCTCGCAAAGATGAGAGAGGACCGCTTACCCAGAAGGAATGCTAAGCGAACCAGCCTGCAGTATGTCACAGAAATTAAATTATTAATAAAGGAAGTGATAGAGAATAATAGGTCTGTTGTGAAGACTCGTTTTCTTCAACGGTAAAAGGCAAAAGTTACAGCACCCATCAGCTTGCTTTCATCATCTGTGGAAGAATTCTGAATGACTCGGAGTTGCTCAAAGGAATGTCGATGGATTGTAAAATATGAGGGGCTGAGAATAGAGTAAACTAAACTAAACTAACTAAACAGCAGGTTTTAGTACAACTCCCATCTGTCGTGTATCCGGAGAGCAAAACTGAACTGCATTTATAGCTGGGCTTTAGCTGACTTTGGATATGGTATTGACCTGTGGATGTTTTCAGAATTTAGTTGAGATTTATATAAAGGCATTGTTCGCTCTCGACTGGCTGTTTCCAAAAAGCATTTAATCATGTGTAGTAGTTTTAAAAAAATATTAGTGTTATTGCCTTCCTGTTCCTGAAAAACAGCTACACAGAAGCATGGAGCCCAGTTCCAGTCATGGTTCCATCTCTAGTTGTATATTCTTCTTTTTGCATGCGCAGGAAGGCATCTTCTCTCTTTTCTTTGAGCAACAGTTACTTGATTCTTTACTTTTCAGAAAACCGAAAATGCTCATCTGTTTTACAGGTGCAGTTAATGGTCTGCAAGGTGTTGATTTTCAGATGTGGTATTTATGGACTGAAAGCATCTAGAGATCCTGAATCTCAAATTTTTGTGAAATTTTGTGATTTTTTTTTTTCAAATTTATATAATTAATGTCCTTTCATGTGGGGGTGATAGGAGAAATATCAAGACCTGCTATATTCATTGGGCTGCAGTTCCAAAAGTGATGTTCATGAAGTAATCTTGCACAATTGAAGATAAACCCCAGCAAGAATAGAATTGGTCAGTATTGAATTACCAGTGTAAAATCAAATTAAAATAGACTAGAGACTTACTAGTGAGTGAGTGACTTACTGTTTTTATTAATGTCATATTTTTGACATAGAAAATACCAAGTACATCTTTTCAGCCAACTAATAAAAGAGTTTTTTCATTTAACCTGTAATTTTACCCCATAGATATTAATAACTGTCAAAAGTGATTAGTCAGTTGTTTTGAACACATATGTTGGAGTGTGGCTTTTCTACTCTAACTTGTTTGCAGCCCAAGTGAAATTAGAGAAGAGCAGTTGGTATGGATGTACAAACAGTAGTGTAAGTTTATAACCACGTGCTTTAGATGTAAAAAAACTTTTCAATGAATGCAGGATGATTTAATAATAAGATCAAAGCTCATATCTCTGTTTTATCAAACTTCTCTTTTTAAGAAGATATCTTCCTCCACAAACACTGTTTGAAAGAATTACACACCACTGATCCTCTGAGTGTTTAAATGGAGAGGAGAAATCAACTTAAAACTGATTGACTTTGCATCTTCAGTTTCTGAAGATCTGGATTGGAGCCTTCATTTAAATCCTAAGTAAAAAAATATAAACGTTTTTTTACCGTACTGAAAGAAGAAGCCCAGGTGTGACGCACTACTGAATTTGCATTTCAGTAGAAGTGTAAAAGCAGAAAGGCCTTAAACCAGCAAACTTAGGACCTACCAAATAAAACTGTGTCCAGGCTGCCCTACTCGGGCAATTTCGTGGTAATTTCACGTGCTGGAGCAATGCTGAAATGGCAATTGTAAGTGGTGTCTGTAACTCTTCTCTTTATTTGTCTGATTTAGGGAAAAAATCCCCTCCTCGTTTTTTTAACACAATAGATTAATGATGTTAAAGCAGGTCCTCACTTTAACCAAGCATCACTGTTCCAAAACAGAGATCTCTTTGGGATTTTTATACAGAGATTTTACAACTAATTATCTTAGTTATAATCTCAGCGAAGAAGCTCTCATTTGGAAGAGCTTTTGGAGAGCTCCTTTGATGAAACTGAGCTACGTGGCCAGTTGTGAAACTGTTCTCACTCACAATGCACTTAACTAAATAAATCTCATCTGATTAACCTTTCTTTTCCCTTCCTCTGGCACGTGAAGCACCAAAGCTGTGTCAGTAACTCACGTAGCATGGTAGAAAAACAGTTTGCATCAGGAGGAACACCTTTGTTTTTTGATACAAACATTTTCTTTCTGAAGCGTGGCTCTTAGAAATTTACCCAGCTGTTCCCATGGTTTTGGAGGTCTTTTGTGTAAGTTGCTCTCTGAATACATGAACAGGTCTGTTGTAGAAGAAATGTTTCCTGGAGGAAAGAAACCACCAAACGTGAGTTAGAGCATGACCTGTCAAACTTACAAACCAACCATTTCACTGTGCAATATCTAAGAACTAGGGTACCTAAGAATTAGGTAGTAGTATCTAAGAATTAGGGCTGGCTTTCTGAAAGGGTTTAGTTGATGTAAATAATGTAAATATGATGAAAATTGATGTTTTGGCTGTGGTCTCCTGAAGCTCTGTATGCTTTTCTTTAATCTAGAGAAAACTGGTGTTTAAAAGTACAGGGAACTTTTCTTGTATTTATCCTTTTGTCCTCTTCCCCGTCCTGCCCCAGCATGGATTGCATATCTGTCTCGTTTAATGGAATAAGAAACAAACATTTATCAATAAGAAGTGTTTAAAGTAAATGTCAAAAATTGATAGATGTGGTTTTTCTCTTTTGAAATTCCAGTGAATTTTGACATGAATGTGTTTTTACCGTAGTTTTGGCGTACAGCATACACTCAGTTTAAACAAAGTGGGGTTTTTTTATCTTAAACTTTCTAATTAGACTTAAAAATGATGAGCAATTGATTAATGAAGAACAGTTTCAAAACGTCATCATTTGGGCCTTGTGTCTACGTACATGTTATTTTTCTAATGAACTGTGGTAGATCTTCAGGAACTATTACAAAGAACTTGTTTGTCCATTCGTGTTTGTGAGGATTTAGTTGTTGTGTGTGTTAAATAGTTTATAAAAATGCAGTGACTTTTATCTGTCTGTTCAGCTGTGACTGGAATGGAGTTGATATTTCTCTCAGGTGCCTTGAAGCTTTGCAGAATTTTGTGACTTAAATGTCATGGGCACCCTCCAGCTTTGTGCTGTTCACTGTATTGTGCAAAGCAAAGGTGGCACAGGAAGAGATTCCATTCATTTCCC